AAAAAAAAAAAAGATAGATTTTAATCTTTTTAATGACTACGTACTTCATCTCTGCAAAAGTCATACAATTACCATAAAAATGAAAGATTAAAAATGTAGATATGACCGCATAATGTGGCAGGTGCCTGTAATCCCAGCTACTAAGAGAAGCAGAAGCAGAAAGATCACAACTTCAAGCCTAGCCTGTACAACAGAGCAGGAACCTGTCTCAAAGAAAAGGGGTAAAAAAAAGAAAAAGAAATGTAAAAATGACATATTCATTTAAATTTTTTCAAATAAATGAACTAAGAAATTTTACAGATTTATCACTTTTATTAAACTTTCCCTGTATATTAGGTGATTGCTAAACGTAAAAAGATAAAATTTTACCTGGAATACACTACAGTCTAATGGTATCCATGCCTTTTATAAGTTGGTTCCTATCCAACAAAACAAATATTTAAGCAATTAGAATAACCTTAAGGAGCTATGCTACGTAAATAACATGGGTGGATTTTTAAAAGTAATATCTCACTGTGGTTAAGACCAAGCCTTGGCCCTCAAGCAGATGTGTTCAAATTGCAGACATGCTGTAAAACAGATTATGTGATCTAAATCAAGTTATTTAATGTCTCTGTGCCTCAGTTTCTTCATCTGTTATCTAAGATAACAATACTTATTACCTCATGTGATTTGGAGAAATATTAAACAAGTAAATACATGCAAAGCACTTGGAATTGGGACCAGTCCATTTAAAAGCATTCAATGCATTAGCTACTTTTTTTAGAACTAGTTCATGTATTTGAGTCTCACCTAAAAATCATGTCAGCAGTTTCATTGAAGGACATGAAAACCACAAAAAACTTGAGATGAAAAACCTCAGAAGTCAGAGTTTCTGATAGGGGAAAGGTAATAAGGGAAAAGAAAAAAATATGACAAAATGAAAAAATGGAAATAAAGTGTTTGTAAATGGAGAGGGGAGGAGGGGGTGAAGGGAAGGCACATTCAAGGGGGAAAAAATGAGAACCAAGACCTGTCATGTAAAGGTACAAGATCCCAATAATGAATGTAATTGTACTGTATGCCTAAAATGTACCAATAAACTCAATAAAGGAAAAAAAAAAAGAAGTCAGAGTTTCACTATTACTCTTCACTAAGCCCATGATTTATATGTACCCAACAACAGAGTTGATAAAAACTTCTGGGAATTCAAGGATAATGCCATCAAAAATACATTTGGGGGCTGGGGATTTAGCTCAGTGATACCACGCCTGCCTTGTAAGACTAAGGTCCTGAGTTCGATCCCCGGTACCCACCCAAAAAAATTACATTTGGAGTGAAATTGTTTTGCATACCTTTGTCATTATCATATAACCCCAGTATAACAAAAACAAGTGCAGTTAACAAAAAAATGATAACATCCTTATATCCCTAGAGCCTGCACATTTTTATATTCATAGAGCATGGATTATGGTTCATAGTCATAAGCAAAATATGGACAAAAATCTACTATGTATTTATCCATAAAGAAACAATAAACTCATCCAAATATTTCAGCCAATGTTCTTTTATTACAATGCAACAAAATAAAAAATAAAAGTAAGCAGATATTATATCCCTTGGGAATTAAGAATAACTGAAAATCCACAAAATTACAAATTATTTCAATGCCATAGATAGAAGAGTTAAAACCAAAACAACAGGACACAATGAAAGTTAAACTAAGAGGGAATACTGCAGTCTTCTCTCCCTTTACTATGAAAGAAGGAAGTCAGCAATTACAATAAAGGAATCTGATACTTGTCTTGGTCAGCTCAGGCTATCTTCAAAATATCAAACTAGGGTGATGGTTGAAACAACATTTATTTTTCTCACAGTGCTAGAGGCTAGAAAGTCTGATATCAAGATGGCAGCATGGTCAGAGTCTTGATGTGGACTTTCTGGTATGCAAATGGAAGTCATCTTGCTTTGTCCTCACATTGCAAAGAGAAAATGAGAGAGCAAAGGAGTGGAAGATAGATTAGATTATTAGACCAGACAGACAGACACAGCATGTCTCTTCTTGTAAAGGCAGTAATCCCACAGCCTCTACCCCATGACTTATCTCCTACCAAAGGTTCCATTCCAAAGACTATTGCATTGAGAGTTAAATTCCATATGAATGTGGAAGAACACAATTTGGTCCACAGCAATACTCTTAAGTGTGCTGGGAAGAATAGATATTCTATGCAGACAAATTAAAGTAGGCCCCAAACTCTCCCGCCATGTACTTGAATCAACTAAGAATGAATGAAAGGCTTAAAGGCAAGATCCAAAACTAAGAAATGAAAACATGGAGGGAATGCTTCACAACACTAATCTGAGCAAAAATTTTTTAAATAAAACCTCAAAACCACAGACAACTGAAACAAAAATAGATTAAAGGGATCAAAACAAACTAAAAAGCTTCTGTATATCAAAGGAAATGATCAATGGGGTGAGGAAACAATTTTTTTAAAAACAGAGTTGGAGGAAATATCTGCAAACTATGCATCCAGGACAAAAGGATTAAAATTCAAAATATATAAGGTACTCAAACAGCTCAAAAGCAAAAGAAAAAAATCCAATTTAAGAATAGGGAAAAGACCCCAACAGACACCTTTCAAGAGAAGACATACAAACATCAACAAGAACATGAAAAATGCTCAAGATCACTAATTAAAGGAAATGTAGATCAAAACCAGAATCAGATATAACCTTACCCCAATTATAAGACTATTCTTGTAAAGATGGAAATGTAAACAAATAAAGCCTTCATGGAGAATAGTACAGCAGCTCTGCAAAAAAAGTAAAAACAGAACTAACAGATGGTCCAGCAATTACACTACTAGGTATATATTCAAAGGAAAGGAAATCAGTATGTTAGCGATATTTGTACCCCCATGTTTACTGAAACACTATTCATAACAGCCAAGGTGTGAAAGCAAACTAAGTGCCCATCAATGGATGAATGGGTAAAGAAAATGTGGTCTATGTACATAATAGCATACTACTCAGCCATAAAAAAGAATAAAATTCTATAATTTGTGGCAACATGGATGAACTTGGAGAAAATCACGTTAAGTCAGGTAAAGAAAAACAAAATGCCACATGATCACACTCATATGTGGAATCTTAAACAGGCTGACCTCATAATGGAGAGTAGAATAGCGGTTACTAGAGGACAGAGGAAGAGAGCATGGAGGAAAAAGGGAAAAACAGGTCAATGTGCAAAGTTAGTCAGGCAGAAGGTCAGGTTCTGATATTTAACTGCACAGTAGGGTGACTAAAGTCAACAATATTGAAGAATATATTTCAAAACATTTACAAGAGAGAATATGAATTTTCCCACCACAAAAAGTGGTTCATTTGCAGTGATGGGTACTTGATCACAACATAATGAACACATGTATGAAAACATCATGTGTACCCCTTAACTATGTACAATTAAACTTTTAAAAAGAGCAAGATAATTAAAGTAAAAATAAAGTATAAAGGCCATTATAAACAATCTAGAGCTTATACTTGTTAGTGCTCATAAAACAGAAACCTGTTTTGAATATTTATAGAAAACGTGTGCATATATAAAAGATTAGAAATAAAAAACACCTTTAGGAGAATAAAATAGGAATGTATGTTAATACATGACAACCAATTTGCTAACTTGGAAAGGAAAAAAATTCCCTAGAGAAATAAAACCTATTTTAAAATGAAACCAAATATAAGAAAGCTTGAATAATTTCCATAGGCGAGTCTAAAAGGATTTAAAAGCTACGATTTTTAAAGTGACCAGTCCCAGGGCTGGGGATTTAGCTCAGTGGTTCCGCCGCCTGCCTCAAAAGCACAGGACCCGAGTTCGATCCCCAGTACCAAAAAAAAAAAAAAAGAAAAGAAAAGAAAAAAAAAAAAAAAGAAAAGAAAAGAAAAAGAAAACTAAAGTGACCAGACCCAGATGGTTTTATCAGTGAGTTCCATCTAATTTTTTTTAAGAGGAGGAAAATGTATTGAGAAAAAGACAGCTTCTGTCTAAGAGACACAGAAGAAGAATCTGAAAATGGGTTGCCCCGAGTTCCATCTAATTTTTTTGTTTGTTTTGTTTTTTGGGGTCTTTTTTGAGACAGGATCTTGCTCAGTAGTTATCCATCTGATTTTTAAGGAGCAATTAATTCCAATATTATTTAAATTATTCCAGTCCATAGGGAAAAAATTAAAATGTTTCCAATTTATTTTGGATGTTCACATTAATATCCTAAATTGATAATAAAAATATAAAAAACATATACTGTATTTTAAGTCAATGCCATTAAATAAAATATAATCCTCAGCAAAATATCTCAAAATATTTTGATAATTTTCTCAGCAGAGTTCATTCAGAGGCACAGAGTGATTCAGTATTAGGAAATATAATTACAACTAATAACTTGAAAATTCATATCACTATAATAATACAACATTTTTTTAAACTTTAGTTGCCACTAATGAGAACTAGGTAATTCAGTAACTAAAGTATTTAAATATGATAATAGTCCTTAACAAAAAAACATTAATGCATGTAGAATAAATAATCCTGAGATTTCTCTGATTAAGTCTCTGAGGCGCACCCCTCCATCCTTTTTGGTGTTTTTTTTTTTTAAATAAGAGTCTCTCTATGTAGTTCAGCCTGGTGTTGAACTCACAATTAGTGCAGACTGGCATCAAACTCATAGTGATCCACCTGTCTCAGTCTCCCAAGTGCTGAGATACAGGCATGCGCCAACATGCCCAGCTCATGTAGCTGAAAAACTCAACACAGCAAAATGTTTACCTGACAGTCAAGTATGCCTGTAGTAGTTGGAAAAGAATAACAAATTTAAAATTTTATACATATATAATAGAAACATATATATTGTATATGTTTACAAATAAAAATACCACTAACCACATATATTAAAATTTATGGATATCACTTCACAGAAAACATAATTATATATTTGTATTGACTCTCTATTAAAATAGTAGTTTACCTGTTTGGGAAGTCGGAACAAGGAATTTTTATAGAAAATATCCTTAGCTTGGCTCCATGTACCATCAATGATGATGATTGTAGAAGGATAGACAGGAGAATCTAATATAAATTCTTCCAAATTAGCGGCTTCAGCACCAGGATACAATATTAATGTACCAGACTTCCGGCAGACAGCTGAAAGTTCAATATCTCTTTAAAAAAAATTTTAACATACTTCATTAGCTTGTGGGGAAAATATAAGTTTTTTAATTAATTTTATTGATACATTTAATGTATACAACATAATGACATTCACTGTCAGAAATTTGTACCTTTACATAATCAATCTTGGTTCTTATTTTTTCCCCATTCCCCTGCCCTCCCTTTAACCCTTCAATCCCTATCTACAAAGACTTTGTTGCCATTATTTTTCATTTTCTCATACTAATTCCAAAATAAAAGTTTCATTATATTTATTGAATTCCTAATAAAAGTTCCCCTCTAATTATCTTACTAATTGTTAATAAAATATGAATTAAAAGTCTCAAAATTTCATTCACTCTGATTCATTAGCTGCAATTCTTCCACCCTCTAAGCTTCCCAAAATTCACTACTGTTCTCTATCAAGGCTTTCCACTCCAACTACCAGTGGCATAATTTTAACTCTCCCAGAGAAAGATTTATATAGAAAAGAACTATTTTTTTCCTGTTAAGTTTATTGGTACATTTAAAGCAAACAATACAGTTACATTTATCATTCGGATCTTGTACCTTTATATGATATGTCTTGGTTCTTATTTTTTCCTCATACCCCTGGCCCTCCCTTCACCCCCTTTACCTTTCCCTATTTACAAAGACTTTGTTCCCATTTTCTCCTTTTTTCACATTTTTTTCTTTTCCCTTCTTTCCATTCCCCTCCTCTTCCCATTTCCCCCTTAGCCATTTTCTTCCTATTTCACACTATCAATTACACCATTTGAATCTTACTTACACTTTTAGTTTTTCACATGAGAAAATATTCCGTATTTACTCGTGTGTTCTATTTATTTCACTTAAGAGTAGAGCCTCAATGTGCATCCATTTAGCTATAAATTACACTAAAAGTTAATTTACCTTTCTTCGCTGAAGCGACGACCAATCTTTACTTTACACTTGTCCTGGGGGAGGCATGCCTCTAACAAAGGAACAGTTCGCAACACTTTGTTTTCCTATAGTGAAAAAATTAATTAAAACAGATTTTAACTTAGATAAACACCCTTAAAACTTTTATGATGGGATTGCAGGTGTGTGTCAGAGGTAGAACACTCACTTAGCATGCACAAGCCCCTAGGTTCTATCCAAAGCACTGCAAATTTTCCTCTTGCCAAAAGAATTCTAGGTGGTTAACTACTATATAAACCATAGGTGGGTTAAGACCATTTTCCAGTATTTCTCATAACGTTCTTCCCTCCTTATTATCACTATTAGAATTCGATATAGACTTACTTTCCAAATTTTCATCAATGTAATAAATGTACATGTCAAATTACATAGTGCCAAAATGCCACAGGTGTACCCAGATAAACTCTCCAGTACTACTTCCAAGATGCAACTGCTTTAACTCTTTTGACTATTTCTCCTAAAAGTTATCCCTATTTCCACATACCTATTCTTCCTATTTCTTCATTTGTCATTAGATATCTGTAAACTATCAATATCATCATCACAATAGCTAACATGAATGTACACAACTCTAAGTGCAATACAAAGACATAAATACAGAGATTCATTTACTTTTCATAATAAACCAGAAAAGAAGTATATCTTTATTGGGCCGATTTTACTAATGAGGAAACTAATAAATACAGAAGTTAATTAACTAGTCCAGCGTTACAGAGTTTACAAAGCTATTAAGCATCTGAATTCAGGCATTCTGGCTCCGGCCCTCACCTAAACCGCTACATTTTATAACTGCAGCTTCTCACAACAAGTGATGATTTAACTTTCTTTTACCCCTCTTTATCCTCACCTCATATTTTAACCACTTACCAATCCAATTATTTAAAAATAGGATGACTCAAAATTGCATTTTTCATCAGTTTTTATAAGGTAACAGGAAATATAAAAACAACAATTTTGACAGGCGTGGTGGTACACGCCTATAATCCAAGCCCTCGGGAGGCTGATGCAGGAGGATCACTGTCAGTTTGAGACCAACCTGGACTATATAGTGAGTTCCAGGTCAGTATCAACTACATATTGAGACCCTGTGTCAACGCCCCCCCAAAAAAAAACAATTTTATCAAATTTATTCAACAAGAATCAACTAGTTAAAATGATGCCTGCCCAAGCAACACCCGACTTAGTCAATATGTAAATAAGCACACTGCCCAGTGACACTTGGAGTGAACTGTTGAGTAAAGTTAAGCTAAACCAATAAATGATGTTGACATCTATAAACCTAAATATAATTATTCACAAGGGCTAAGGAATTTAACATTTGTTTTGTAAAGCTTTTTTTATGATTGATCTAACTTGTTTTTAAATTTTTTTTCTTTAAAAAGCAGCCTTTAATTTTCTGAAAATATATTTTCATGACTTTGGAGGAAAATATATGTATGTCATTTGTATTCATATTTATGTATATGTGTGTACATATACCACTTAATTCAAAATGAATTTTAAATCTTTTTTAACTTGTGGATTTTATCCTTAAATCATTTTCTATATTCATACACCTACATTTTGAAATCCTCTATTATATCACCTCACTCATCTGCTCCACCAAGTCTTTCCCAACACGCCCTCTAGAGCCTTGCAAAATGGTTTTTCATCACTTTTTTATGGCGGAGGCATCAAATTGGCATTCCTTTTATCCAAGTTAAGCACGGGCAGCCCAGTATTACTGAATTAGATGAGGACTGTAGTTCCTTTTCAATAGGAAAAACATAGATATACTTATACATGTATAAAATACATTTGTAGCACACACTATATTGGATGGGCTTTTCTAGACTGCAAATTAATCATGGTAAAAAAAATTTTTGGAGATTTGAAAAGATTAAAATTGTCACAAATCAATGAAAACATCCACATTTCAAAAGTTATCTTATGCCTGGAACAACATAAAAATGAAAAGGCACCATATTATATATATTGTAAAATGCAAACAGTATTTTCCATTAAAAATCTTATACAAGGCCAGGATTTAGCTCACTGGTGCCACCATCTGCCTTATAAGTGCAAGGTCCTAAATTCAATGCCCATTACTTAAAAAAAAAAAAGTCATACAAAACTCCTGTGGCCATCAAGCTATCATTTTATATAAATCTGAGCTATAGGATGTTATAAGCTTAGATGCAATTAATATAATGCTTGTGACCAAGTTGTTAGAATCCTAACAAAGGCATGGTGTTATTAAGACTTTCAATTTCTGGTACTAAAAAAAATTTCAAAAGATTGGGTATAAGGTATCCTGAGTTCCTAAATACAGGGCTTTAACTACAGTTTACATTAAATCCATTTATACTACACGTTGACTAGCTTTGTATTAAATGTAATTTAGTTTACTATGACTTCTCTCCCCTCTCATTACTATAGTTTATCAAGATTTGCAAACACACGTACACAATGGCATATATATAATTCTAGCCAGAACAGCAAAGTATTAATTAAATAAAAATTATTTAAATACAACATAAGATACATATATCTATTTTGTTCCTCTAAAAGAAATCCAAAATTTACATATTCACTTTATAAGACTAAAATGCTAGTTACTTTTAACAAGAAAAGACATCCACAAATAAGCTATGACCAAACTTTTTTTTTTTTTTTTTTTTTTTTTTGATACCAGGGATCAAACTTGGGCCCTTGCGCTTGCGAGGCAGGCAGCAGAACCACTGAGCTAAATCCCTGGCCCCATCCAAACTTTTAGAAAGCAGTGATTTTCTTATCTCTGTACTCAAAACTTTGCATCTTCGTTTGAAATTTCTGGAGTTCTAAATTTCTATATTACTCAGTAACGGTTTATGAAATATCAACCATCTCCAAAGAGTTTGACTCTATATTGTATCATATATCAAATTTTTCTTGAAGAGTAAATATTATCTTTTTCAAAAATGCTAAAAAGCTGGAAAGCATGATATCTTTATCTGTGTGTCTTTTCCTGTGCCTTCACATTTTATTTGAAATTGTATAGGTCACATAATCTTACCTCTGCTGGATGCTGAATAATATACAAGTGGGTGGAGATGTGCAAAGGGTGCACTGGAAGAAACGGACACAAACACACCTTCTGAGGCCGGCTAAAGAGTAAAATAAAGAAAAAAGAAATGTAAATTTTTAATACAATGATAATAATATCCCAACACTTGAACATAATTCATGTTATATAAAAGGTATGCTAAAGTTTCATTTTTTTCAAAATACTAAGAATGACTTTAATCAGTTAGGTTAATATATGAAAATAAGGGAAGAGATTGAAGCACATTACTTAAGGTAAAAACCCATAAATTCATATAAGATAACTTAAAACTTTTTATCTTAGTTATCATCAGTGGAAGACTACACACACACAGTCCTTTTATTCTTGAGTAACATTTTTCCTAACTTTCACTCCAAATCAAGAACAGATCTCATTTCAAAATGAAACCTGGAGGGGGCCAAGGATTTAGCTCAGTGGTTTCATTGCCTGCCTTGCAAGTTCAACTCTAATACCAAAATAAAAAAGAAAGAAACTTGGAGGGCTGGGGATTTAGCTCAATGGTGCTGCACCTGCCTTGCAAGCTCAAGATCCTGAGTTCAAGCGCTGGTACCAGGAAAAAAAAAAAAAAAAAAAAAAAAACTGGAAAATCTCTTATCATCTGAAATTGGAGGGAACAAAAAGATTAAATGTTAGAAAATAAGTACCGAGACTTCTCTTGGTCTTCACTCAGGCTTGAGTGTTCTTTCCTTTCTCAATCCTCACTCCCCAACTCAAGCATGTTAGTGTTGTGATGCTTGGACCACCACAAGTGGCACCCAAACAGGGACCTGAGTATCAAGGGATCCAGTGAAGGACACTGCTGGATAAAGAATAAAAGGAGATCTCGACAAAAAGAAAAAAAGAGGACCTTTAAAAGGAAGGCAAAAGAGGAGCGGAACATGATGGAGCATGATGGCTGCTGGAGAGATTGGTTCATCATGTGGATCATCCTGACAAATCTACATCCAGTATCATGGGACAGTAACCTCCACAATCATTACCTTTATGTGAAGAAGAAACAAAAATAAGCAGTACTACTATTTTACGGAAGAGGTGTTATATTACTATACCTCAAGAACATTTAATGACACATCTTGAAAGTTTTTGGACTAATCACTTGGACTTAAGCTTATCTGCAGGACTTTGGTGGACAAATTCAGGTTTTCCTCAAACCAACATTTGGAAACTTGCTGCTGTATTGGGAGAAATATGTTTATGGAAAAAAAAAGAAATATGTTTATGGTCAGATGTCAAAGTTACTAGCCTTAGTTTCAATGTTTTTAACATAGGGACCTTTAATATGTGAAATACCATAAATACTGTGTTATCTCAAGTCAAAGAACAAAAGAAAAAGATAATGTCTTGTGTTAATGCTCCTTATGTTATTGGTAAGAAATATAGAGATTGCTTATGAAACTGATAATGAATATAACAACAGCTGTTTTAATTGTAAATTGACCAATTGTATATTCTCAAAAATGATGACTTCCTTTCATTCTGTGATGGTTTTGAGACAACCTCTCTTTGTTATGATACCTGTTCAATTTAATGAAACCTGGTATGTAGATCAAGGATTATGAATGTTTATGGTAATTGAGAAAGCATTAAGTAGACAAAAAAAGAGTGATGGGATTAGTTATCGTGGGGATTGTAGCCCTTATTACTGTAATAGCCACAGCCACAACTGCTACAGTTGCTTTGGCACAAGAAATTCAGGATGCTTAATATGTTAATGTTTTAGCTAAAAATGTGACTCATACTGTAACTATTCAAGTAGATTTTGATCAAAGATTAGAATAAAAGATAAATGTATTATATGATGAAGTTACTCTTATGGTATAAGAAATACAGGTGCTGAAAGTTTGTTCTCGATTGATGTGTCACTCTGGTTATCAATGGATTTGTGTAACCAATAAGCTATATAATGATTCCATCTATGACTGGAGTAAAATACAAAGGCATTTAAAAGGTATTTGGTATAATCAAAATACCTCCCTAGATTTAATAGTTACATCAAGATATTTTGGATCTACAGAATGCCCCTTCCTTAAAGTTTGATGTGGCACAAGGTGCTCATTGTTTTATCAATCAGTTAAAAGAGGTCTTACCCTCCATGGCATAAGTTACCCAATTGTTAGGTCCTGTTATTGCAATTGGGATAAGAGTATGTCTAGGATGTGTTATATTATCCATATTAGTGTGCATGGTGAGTTCATCTTTGATGAACATGGCAGGAAAGATTCATGGTTTACAATTGCACATTAAGCCTCTCATACCTACAGTCTAACCCCTGCAGAGGCTGGTAGTCAAAGATGGGTAAGAGAAGTGTACAGAAATATCCAACCTAAGACAGCATGAGTATCAAAATTCTCATGGCTTGATGACAAGGGATTTCTCTGGACATTTCTCACCTAAGACAGGCACAGTCTTTCTGCTGAGCTGGGAAAGTCCCTGCTCTAAATATAATAAAAAGGGGGATATGTGGGGGCCCAGTCATAGCCCACTCGAGTTTGACATTTGGAAAATAACTTCTTCCTGTACCATTACAGCATCGACACAATCTATGTAACATTTGTTACTTTTCAAGGACACTGTTACACTTGCTTTGTTCTTTGACCCTGGGATAACAGGAACTCCTTAGCCGAAAATCTTATGTTATCTGTAAGAGTCAGGAAATCCGGTCTTTACATAAAGATAAAAACAATTGCTTGGTGCTTCCTGTTGTTGTGTGCCCTTAAAAGCTTCTTGCTGATGTGAGCCTTTAAAAGGAGCTGTTTCTGTGCAATAAATCAGACTTCTCTTGGTCTCCACTCAAAAGAGAAAAAAAAAAGAAAAAAGAAAAAAAGTACCAACTAGAAAAGAATTCTAATCAAATTTAGCTACCAATCAAGTGAGACAGCTTAACAGTTATGAGAAGAAACACAAATAGAGGTCACCAGATTATAAACAGAATTATAGCCATAGACTATCACTTTTTCCATTTATTTTTTCCTTTGCTACTATTTACTTTGTGGCTTTTGTTTTATTGTTGTTTGAGTAACTTCCATACACAGAAAAAAATTCAGAGAGAATAAAGGAATATACCACCCATCTCAGACCTTCAACATGAGGGGTTCTTTTCCTAGGGACAACCAAGGTCCAGTTCCTTGTGTATTTATTTAATTTATTTAATTAATACTTTGCTATTCTGGCTAGAATTATATGGAAAGTTGTATCCCAAAGATAGTGTGTGAATAAAAACAGATTTTGTACCATTAAATCCTACACTGGTAAGCAAGTTTATAAAAGGAAGTTCATTAGGTAGCAAGATCTCAAATGTTACAGGACTGAATTTTTCACAGCTGATCACCATTACAGGCAGATGTGACATGTCATTGTAGGACTATACCGGTGAATGTTATGGTACAAGGAATTCCCAATTAACATACTACTACAAAACTGACCACTGCCGATTCTTTCCCCAATTTACTTACATGGAATTATAGCTTAAAATAAGACATGTTGATATCAAGTTCAATCCCAATACAAAAAAAAAAAAAAAAGAAATGTTGATGTCATGTTTTGTTAATAAAGTACAATGTGTGAGTAAACTGGTTCAAATACCTAATATTACTATCATTCATTCTGTAAGAAACCATCAAGCCTATGTTCCTACTGAAGTATCTAGATCAGCCCTGTCTAATCCTCTGCCCATGTGCTCCAGGCAGCCCTGCACAGCTAGTAATGCAAGACCACAAGATTATATATACTTTTAATATTATTATGTGATTTTTAGTGATATTTTTCATGTTGCAACTGTGCAGTGCTCAAGCTCAGTCTGGGTAGGCAACAGCAGAATACTGTGTAGGGGAGGGGAAAGCACAGTACTAACTCTGCCTCCTGGGCCCACCATACACAGCTGTATCAAAACCTTCATAAATCATTCATTATCTGCACTTGTGCAACCCAGGGAGTCAAATACAGCAATCATCTCTAACAGCATTTCAGGCTACCTGCATGTGTGTGGTGTTTACTGTTATTCAGCATGTACTGCTTCTTTGTCTTTTGACTAGGATCAAGTGAAACAGATGTGTAAATTTTATTATTTAATTCTTAAACCTAGGCTTCTGTTATTTTATAAAATAATTTAACAAGTTAAAACATAAAAAGGAAGTTTGGTTTCATACACTAACTGTATTTTATATTTTATATGCGATCCAAGACAATTTCTCACCATTCAACACAGCCCAGGCAAGTCAAAAGTTTGGACACCATGATCTAGACAGAGAACATCCTGGGCAGAGGCAGAACATGACCCCACCTCCTCTTTCCTTCACTGAATCAGGGGTGAAAGACTAACTCAAGCAAGGGAAACCAGCACATCCAATTCCCAGTGACCTTTGAGATGATTCAGTACAACTGTTATGCCCTACCCTGGATTTCCTCTCAGGAATCCAACTGGATTTATAGGGTCAGAGAGTCTTTCTGTGGTCACAAGTGTAAAAACACACACACACACACACACACACACACAAATACAAATGCAGACCATGCCAAATGGAACTGAGTAATTGACAAAGAGGACTACTGTAAGAAAGGATTCCTAATTCAGTAGAAGGGTGAGTAGGATGAAACTCAATTCAAAATCTTAAAAACTTTGGACTCTGATTTTTTTATACTGTCTCAAAACGATAAATTAAAATGATCCAAAAATAAATACACAATGCAAAAGAAGAATCAAGTAAAAACTGCTGTTTTTCCAAAATAACACCAGACAATCTAAAGTTATATCTTAATCATATTCCAATGTATGGGGTGGAGTTCAACTTTAATTTTGTTTAAATAATTCTACTAAAAGTTTGGCTGAAAAAAAGCCGAGTCCACACACGCTAGCTTTAGTCTTTTACAGATCACAGTCCTAACACAATAGTATCCTGTGCCGTCACAGTAACATTTTCCCTGAAAAGTTGATTCTAACCTTTAGTTGATAAAACACCTATTACATTGATTTTATGATTTATTAGTTATGCAGTACTTGTTATCAAATTGAGTTCAACTTCAATTTATTTGGGGGATTTTCAG